TAAATGTAACTGAGCAAATTAAAATTATTACTACCCTCTCTGAACCACACAGACTGACGGGCTATGTTCAGTCTCATTGTTGTATTGTTCAGTGTGCTGACCCTGCTGCACTGTGATCAGTCTCAGATTTCATTCTGAGGCAGCCTTTCATTTGGAGCGGTGCTAAGCGGCATCTGACGCAGCCGCGAGGCGTAAACAGACAAGCCGCTTAGCCGCTAGCTAGCTAACTACATACGCTACCCTAACGCTGGTGTCTTCACTCGGCAGATCCACCCAGAAATACAGAAATAAAAGTGTACTCCAGCCGACTGTTAGTGAGGCTGCTCATCTCATTCGGTCACTACTCACCTTTTAAAAGCAGATTCTGACCGTTGCAGTCGCCACTCCAGTCGTAAAACCAGTCTCCACTCCACTCGGTCCAGTTAGTTATCGTCAGTCAGCTACGCAGCTGAAAATCCTCGTTTCTGGGAGCTGAAAGCGTCACCCGGCAGGCGGCGCTGTCTTAGTAAGGAGTGTAAGAGAGTCTTATCGAGGTTTAACACTCGCTAAACAAACTCGATAAACTGCCCGCGTTAGCGACCTGAGAGACTCGCTCACTGTAAACGACTGTAACGGTCGCGCTTGGCTTTAAAAGTAGGAACGGCGGAGAGCGCTCGCGCTTCAAAACCGAACGTCCAAGAGGCGGAGTCGCGCGCTCTGATTGGTCTGAAACTCCCGCCAGTCTTTTCCTCCCATAGATCTTTTTTTTCTGGTTCGCGCCTCTCTGTACTGAATAAACTGTGCTGTTTTGTTTTTGTTTGTTTGTTTGTTTGTTTTTTAATCTAGACACAGAATAGAAAACTGCAAACTCTTGAAATACATGAGACAGCTGTACAGCATTATTTTACAAAGCATTACTGAAGAGGCTGTGTCTTAAAACATTAAAGTCAAAGTATGAAGTTGGGCATTTAAACAAAAATCTGTTTATTATGTAATTTTACGTGGTGAAACAATATAGGTATTTATATTACTACTCAAATACATCTGTTTATTATTGTTCTTGTTTTGCAAATACCTGGAGATAATCATTTTGAAAGTTATACATGGTATATAAAAAAGTTTGTTCTCTCTTTCTGTTGGGCCAAATTAAAAGTCCTAATGGTCTAACTTTGGGCAGCCCTGATCTGCTTAAGAAAATAAACAGAAGAGAGTGAACCAAGTGCTTTTTCTGCATTAAGTTTTGGTTGTATGTGATCTCTAAAGTACCCAGGTTAGCTGTTAAGTACACTTACTTCCTATTAGTTCAAAGTTGTTTTATCTTGGTTCCTAGCTTGTTGTCTCTGGTTACAATTGTACATTTGAAAATAGATCAATGTTGTTTTAATCATAGCATGTTTTCTGCAAATGAGCAAAAGGCTGTGACTGACTGTGATTATCTCCATTGGTAAATGTTACAAATTAAAAGTTATTCTACCATGAACTTCAATGATATAAGGAAATGAGTTTAAACATTTTAAGGTAAGGTAAATTTTGCTCTTTTGCTACTGTAATCACATTTCTGCAATAATCAAAAAACAAAACAAACAAACAAAAAAAAGAATCACAAAAGTACAGAAAGTAAAACCTTAGTGAATGTTCTTTTAGTAATATCACACAAAAACCATAAGATTACAGCAGGCTGTTTCTTGAGGACATACTTATATTCTCATTATATTTTCCATTAGGCAGTGCTGTGGTAATCCTGGTAATCCTCAGTTTAATTTTGTATTGTAAGTTTGGCAGTACCACAGGAATACCACATTCATACAACAGGACCTTTTGTAATGGACCACTCTTTGGACTCAACTGAACTGTCTTAAGACACAACATCTCTATGTCTTAAGACAAAGTGATGTCTTAAGTCATGCCCCATCTTCAAGACACACAAAATAATTACTTCTTTGTCTTAAGACGTTAACTTTCATGTCTCAAGACAAAGACACTGTCTTCACTCATACGTCTTAAGACATTCTTGAGATGTCTTGCCATAAGAAAATGTCTCAAGACAGCTTATAAATACTGTCAAGACATCTTAAGACACAGTGACAGCTGGGTATAAGTCATGCCCCATCTTCAAGACACACAAAATAATTACTTCTTTGTCTTAAGACGTTAACTCTTATGTCTCAAGACAAAAATCGTGTCTTCACTCATACGTCTTAAGACGTTCTTGAGATGTCTTGGCATAAGAAAATGTCTGAAGACATCTTATAAATACTGTCAAGACATCTTAAGACACAGTGACAGCTGGGTATGTACCGAGCTGAATATTAGTAGCAAGAGATAACAGTATGAAATATACAGCATCATTTATGTAAAATTTCATCTTTAGATTGAAAGAGAAGCAAACCATTTAACAATCATTATATATTGCTTTTAAACAAACTCATCCGTCTGTCTTGGATCACTCATGGCATCATCCCCAGCTTCATTTTTAGGTTCACTTCCATCACTGTCATCAACTGTGTTGCTGTCATGCTAGGGGTGGGAATCTCTAGGCACCTCATGATTCGATTCGATTATGATTCAGAGGCTCCGATGCGATGATAAAATGATTATTTTCTATATAAATATAAGGATTTATATATAAAAGGATTTCTGTTTTCTCACTGTGTGACAGCTTGGAACCTTTAAAGCAAAGTACCTCTAATGATCCATAATGAATTTACTTTCAATATTTTTATTATTAAATCAAATGGAAGTGATGTGGCAAGTCAACTGGAAGGTTCTAATTCACTGCTCTTCTATGGAGCACATGAGACGCTGCTGCCACTCATCTGCAATAAAATGAGCAGTTACGATGAAATATGATCCTGTGGCAATGGATATCCATGCAGCAGATTACAGCTATTCTACCTGTTTTCTTCAGTGATTTCATAACTTTGGTTTTGGTCTCATTGTAGAGAGTGGGGGGGTTGCTGTGTCAGTAAAATATCTTCAAGACAGGTCGCTGTATCTCGGCTCCAAAGTGTGCAACATAGTGTGAAAGCCCTGGAACTAGCCTATAACTGCTAGTTCACCTAGCTAGTAGCTAACGAAAAAGCAAAGTTGTTCTCCAGATTCTCGTTTGAATTGTCCTGTTCCACCTTAAACGGTGCAGCAGTTACATTCTGGTGCCTCAGGCACCATTTAAGGAAAACAGGAAAATTTGAACAAGAAGCTGGAGAACGAGAAGTGACTTAGCCTCGTAAAAAGTAGAACATTGAGAGACATTTTACAAGAAACATTTCTACTTTCGTGGAAAAGTTTCCAGCTGGTGATGCAAGTGACTACAGCTGAGCTAAAGCTTAAAGTAGAGCAAAGTAAGTATGCATTCTTGTTTGTATTATACAAACAAACACTAGGACATTAGCACATACTGAGACACATGAACAGCCAAGATGGTAAATTGTACTCAAAATGTTGTTATTTGTTGAAAGGACAAAATGATTCATTAACATTTGGGTTGCGACGTCTGCACTAGCTTTTAATGTAGTGTGCATGCCACAAAATGTCCGGGCGCTGCACTTTCATACTTTGCACAGCTCACCCTTTTGCGTTCCATAAACATTACGTTATCAATTAAAATTTAGAAAATCGATTTTTGACATTTCCCTTCCACCCCTAAGTCATGCACTATGTCATCACTGCTGGATGAAAACCTCATATTTCCAGAATAGTGACATTATGGGACAAAGAAAATCACTTTAAACTTTTAAATCAAACTCCAATGTCCAAATAATGAGAGAAATATCATACATGCCAAAAAAGTTTTCCATTGTAATGAAATTCAAACATGAACACTTTCAGGGCATCATGATATATTCCAGAGAGAAATGACAGAGAACGACCCCATAAACGACAGAGAACGACTAAACTAGCACAGATACAGGCATTTAAACCCCATAAACGATAGAGAACGACTAACCTAGTGGATGTCCAGGCATTTAAACCCCATAAACGACAGAGAACGACTAAACTAGTGCATGTTCAGGCATTTAAACCCCATAAACAACAGAGAATGACTAAACTAGCACATATTCAGGTGTTTAAATTGCATAAACGACAGAGATTGACAAAACTAGCACATATTCAGGCGTTTAAACTCCATATAATTGACAGAGAATGACTAAACTAGCAGATATTCAGTGTTTAAATCCCATAAACGACAGAGAAGGACTAACCTAGTGCATATTCAGACGTTTAAACCCGTAAACGACAGAGAATGACTAAACTAGTGCATATTAAGGGGTTAAACCCCATAAACGACAGAAGCCAACTAAACTAGCAAATATTCAGCATTCAAACCCCATAAACGACAGAGAACGACTAAACTAGCGCATATTCAGGCGGTTCAACCCCATAAATGACAGAGAACGACTTAACTAGCACATATTCAGGCATTTAAACCCCATAAATGACAGAGAACGACTAAATTAGCACATATTCAGATGTTTAAACCCCGGAAACTACAGAGAATGACTAAACTAGCACATGTTCAGCGTTTAAACCCCATAAATGACAGAGAAGGACTAAACTAGCACACATTTAGCATTTAAACCTTATAAATGACAGAGAATGACTAAACTAGCACATATTCAGGTGTTTAAATGCATAAAGGGCAGTGAACAACTAAACTAGCACATATTCAGCATTTAAACCCCATAAACTACAGAGAACGACGAAACTAGCATATATTCAAGTGTTTAAACCCCATAAATGACAGAAAACGACTAAACTGGCACATATTCAGGCATTTAAACCCCATAAATGACCGAGAACGACTAAATTAGCACATATTCAGATGTTTAAACCCCGGAAACTACAGAGAATGACTAAACTAGCACATGTTCAGCGTTTAAACCCCATAAATGACAGAGAAGGACTAAACTAACACACACACACACACTTATTTACACAAACACACACTGACACAGTCACATACACACACACACAAACACACACACACACACACACACACTAATCTCTCATCTTGTGTGCAGATTCCTGTGAGTTCACTCTGGATCCAAACACAGCACACAGTTCTCTCTCTCTGTCTGATGGGAACAGAAAGGTGGAGCGTGTGGGATCTTCACAGATGTATCCTGATCATCCGGAGAGATTTGATTGCTGTGCGCAGGTTCTGTTTAGAGAGAGTCTGACTGGACGCTGTTACTGGGAGGCTGAATGGAGCGGGACAGTTAATATAGCAGTAACATATAAATCAATCAGCAGGAAAGGAGGCATTGATGACTGTCGGTTTGGACTGAATGAAAAGTCCTGGATTCTGAGCTGTTCTGGTAATAGATACTCTGTCTGGCACAATAGTAACAGCACTGAACTCTCTGCTCATCCCTCCAGCTGTAAGAGAGTAGGAGTGTATGTGGACTGTCTGGCCGGCACTCTGTCCTTCTACAATGTCTCCTCTGATACACACACACTGACACACCTACACACATTCTCCACCACATTCACTGAACTGCTCTACTCTGGATTTTGGGTTTATTATGGCTCCTCAGTGTGTTTGAGATAAAATAACCTCCTGAGTGAACATCACAAAACACACAGAACTCTCTCTCTCTCTCTTTCTCTCTCTCTCTCTCATTAACTCTAATTATAAAACAGTTAGCTCTGGCCATGCAAGCTGATTCGTTGAGAAGCGTTCTAGCCGTGCTGTTATTTCGCCATAACATCACGTTTTTTTCACAAGCACTGTATCACTCCACTGAGATGCCATTTCTAAGCAACGACTTTGACACCTAAACAACGTGGAATCAGCCAGAAATGAACCCTATACCATTCGCCAAACAAAATGTGAGATGCTTTACAGACTGGCTGGAGCAAAACAACATTAATATTGATCTAGCAAAAAAAAGACAACACTGAGGTAAACTTTGTATTGCAGCAGTTTTATGGCTCAGTCTGTAATTCTAAAGTTGAGGCTTACAACATACATGTCCAGTGAGTGAGCAGAGTTTGTTACTCTGACGTAGCAACAAGCTGCTTGTTAAGGAACTATAATTTAGCGGAAGGAACTGCTAACATTAAAACATATTAAATGCCATGTTCACAGCCCAATTTATTTATTTATTACTTTATTTATTTAACTGATGTATAAAAGCAATAGAACACTTGAGGTCATGTGTTATCGCTATAAAATCACGGCTGTGATGATCTATGGTGACCAAATCACAGCCGTGATGTTATTTCCCAATAGCACACTCCCTCTCATGTTCTATTGCTTAATTAATGGCTAACAATTTAGTACATGACTAGCATGTTATGTTGTAGGTAGCAGATTCTCTCTTTCTGTGTCTCTCTCTCTCTCTCTCCCTCTCTGTATCTCTCTCGCTCTCTGTCTCTCTCTCTCTCTCTCTCTCTCTCTCTCTCCTTGTTACTCTTTAAAGGTCTGTATTTGACTCTTTTCTTGTATTTTTTCACTCTGAGCTCCATTTATAATGTTTGTGTGATTTTATGTATAAAAACAGTCAAAATTCATTTTTACATCATCATTTTTTTTATTCTTTATAAATGAACTTTCTGCATTTGCTATTGTGCCTTCAAGACTGATATATGTAAATGAGCTCTATTCTGACTGGCTGTGCTGTATTCTTCCTCATTTAAAAAGCAGTTCAGTCTGTACTTCTCTGTTTTCTCTCTCGCTCTCTCTCTGTCACTAGGGGATTGTGCGTGGATGGAGGGAATGATGTGAGAGTGTTCTGTGAGAGCAGCTTTTTGAGTCATCTGTTCTCTTTTCCTTTGGGTTTCAGATTTTGTCTATGCACAATACTCAAAACAGTTTATTGGCAGTGCGTTACATCTTGATTCATGTGCTTGCTGGTTTCTGGTGGCGCCCAGCCCCTCTTGCTTTGTCATGGGGTGCGGTGCGATTTGAGGCCCGATGTAGCGGTAGAGGACGTGTTGCTGGTGGTAAGAGAGTTTGTAGGATGCAAGAACATTATCTTGGCATCGAGGATGAATAAGGCCATGGTGGTGTTTTTGAAGGAGAAGACACAGGCTGACCGACTAGTTGAGCATAGAATTACGGGAAGTGGAGGGTTTTATATGGTTGTTCCACTGGTTTCACCGATGGCTAAGGTAACAATCTTAAATGTGCCCCTGTTTATTCCCAATGATGACACGGTGATTGAACTTTCTCATTTTGGAAAAATGGCCAGTGATGTTAAGATGATTCTACTGAATTGTAAAAGTTCGACTCTCCAGCATGTTTTGTCTTTTAGACGACGGGTGCTGATGTTTTTGAATGAGCCTACTTCAGACATTTAGTTCAGAGTTTCCTATGAGGGTAGATTGTATATGATATATTAGACAGGCTATTAGACAGGCTTGAAAAACTAGTAGGAGTGACAGGTAAAGCTCTTTCATGGTTCAAATCTTACCTTAGTAAAAAGACTTTAAAGACTGGATGTCAAGTAACTTCCTCTTACTAAACTCAGACAAAACAGAAGTATTTCTTCTTGGTCCAAAAGCTGCTAGGAATAATCTGTTAATAATTTGTTAACTCTTAATCTCAATAGTTTCTAAATTGCACCAGGCACATTGTAAAAAGCCTTGGTGTCACGATCAATCCCGATCTGGCCTTCGATGAGTATATTACCAATATTACCAGAATAGCTTTCTTCCACCTTCGTAACATCGCTAAATTAAGAAATGCACTGTCGCTACAGGATGCAGAAACATAAGTTCACGCCTTTATCACATCCAGGTTAGATTACTGTAACTCTCTACTTTCTGATTGTTACAGCCAAAACCTTAACAAGCTTCAGTTAGTCCAGAACGCTGCAGCCAGAGTTCTCACCAGGAAAAAAAACAGGAAATTTGACCACATTAGCCCAATTTTGTGTACCTTACATTGAGTACAAAATTCTTCTACTGACGTTTAAAGCTTTGAACGGCCTTGCTCCTCAGTAGCTCAGTGACCTTATTTCCTATTATCAACCAACACGCCCACTTAGATTACAAGGTGCGGGCCTTAGTACCTAGAATAAATAAAGTTATGTCGGGGGAAGAGTCTTTTCATACAACGCCCCCCAGCTTTGGAATAACCTACCAGTCTGTGTTTGGGACTCAGACACAGCCTCCATCTTTAAGTCTAGGCTAAAAACTTACCTGTTTAGTCGAGCCTTTGGTTAATTTGTTTTCCTGTTAGAATAAGGCGCAGATCTGGGACAGAGAGTCCTATGGTAATCTGGGAATGTTGAAGCTGAACCAACTATCTGTCCCCCTTATCCCCCCCTTCCCCCCTCCCCTTCTCTTTCCCTGAGCTGAGCGGCTGCCCGTCCTAAGAGGGTCTGATGTGAACACCACTCAATCACATCCCAGGGGGATCTGATGCGGCCGGCGCACTGTACAGAAGTGTAAAACTGTATCCACTTATACTGTTTTGTGTCTGTGCTGTTATCCGGTGTTGACCAGAGGAGGATGGGTTCCCCTTTTGAGTCTGGCTCCTCTTGAGGTTTCTTCCTCCTGTTGAGGGAGTTTTTCCTTGCTACTGTCACCAAGCCTTGCTCACTGGGGGCATGGACCTGTATTCTCTGCAAAGCTGCTTTGTGACAACATCTGTTGTAAAAGGCACTATATAAATAAATTTGACTTGACTTGATTTGACTTATATGCGAGCACGGGGAGTATGCGATGCTTTGAGTGTGGGGAACATGTGGAAGCCATAAGCAGTGGTGAAGCAGCCGTTGGTGAGTCTGTGGAGACTGTGGATATGCCAGTGACACTGAAAGGGGAGGATGAGGATGCATTTTCTGACTTTTCTGACCTAGCGTCTCAGGCTGGAGAGGATCAACTTTATTCAGTGCAAGAAATAAATGCTTTTAGATGAGACTTTTGGAAAGGTAGTGGAGTAATAATAAGCAAAAGAGGTTCCGTCTAAAGAAAATCCTGACGAAGTTGTGGAGGGGAAAAGCCCCTGTTAAACAAAAGTGCAGTGACTGAGCCACTGAGAGTGCTTTCCTTCCTTTGGTGTTCTGTCCTTTTCTATCTCTCTTCTCTCCTTTTTCATTCTTCTTTGGATAAGTCGATTATCGCCTCCTTGAATATTAATGGGGGCAGAAAGGGGAGCAGAAGGCCTATATTAGCTGAATTTGTTAAATATAACAAAGTTGATGCTTTGTTTCTGCAAGAAACTCACATTGATAGGATAATGAGGTGGAGTGGGTTTTGTGGAGGGATGGGAAGTATGCTCTCAGTCGTGGGTCCAATCTTAGTGCAGGGGTAACAGTGTTCTTTTTTGGGAGGTTGGGAATAGACAATCTGCATGTGAATGAGTTAGAGCAGGGTCATCTGTTATTGGTACAGACAGACATTAGGGGAACAGGGTTTCTGTTTGTTAATTTATATGCTCCTAATCATGGTGGTGAGTGAGTGAGGTTGTTTCAGAAGTCACGGAGTGCATTGCAGCAATATAGTAACACTCTCTCTATGGTGATGGGGGTTGGAATTGCACTACAGATTTTATAGGGGATAGGAATGGGGAAGAACCTCACCCATGGAAAGAGCTCAACACAGGCACAAGACAATACACATGGGTTAAAATCTGATAGGGTTGACCATCCTTATCTTTTCAGTACCCTACAAAGTTTTGGGTTGGGGAGAGTCTTTTTGTCCTGGATCCAACTTTTATATTCTGGTGCCTCAGTAATGTTTAAAGTTGGTGGTGGGGTCAGTTGTCCGATTAAGATGGTAAGGGGGTGGAAGACTTGGGCTATGAGAGATACCTGTTTGTGTTGCAGCTGAGAGAGATGGACCTGTCTGGGACCTCTGCTTTCTATCAGTCGGTGCTGAGGGCTTGGTCTTTGGCACTTAGGACTACTAGATCTGAGGTCCAGCTTTGTTATCTTGTTGAAGAGGAGCCTTTGTTCTACAATCCATTGATTCTGGTTACTGAGATGACTTTCAGAAGTATCCACCTGCGCTTTCAAATGTATTACAAAACAAGGAAATGTGAGAACTGGTGAGGACTGGAAATCCGGTGATGTTGTAAATGCTGCAACTGATACTATGTCTGTTTGATTGCTGCAGAGAATCATAGGAGAAGTAATCTCAACACTGCCCGCCTTAGAGCACCACTCAGGTGGAGGCCAGGGGCCCTTCCCTTCTCTCCCTGTTACTGCTGAAATAGGGGATTATGAGGAGGAGGAGGGAGCACTTCTCTTCTTCAGGACTCCACAACTAACTGGCTTTGCAGGTTTATCCAAGAAAGGCACTGTTTGTCGTCTTTGTGAAAGTCCTTCACAGAACCTTGTTGGATTGCTTGAAGGTGGTTGGGTTTGTTGGCACCAGGCTCTTCTCCACAAGGCAGTTGGAGATCACTGTACAAGCCTCCAATTGAGAAGCGCACAGGAGATCTGCCGTGGAGGACTGTACATGGGGCCGTGGCCACTAACAGACATGTGTCGCATATTGACCCCACTATAGTGAGTGAGTGCCCTTTCTGTGGGAGGGAGGAAGCTGTACAGCATTTATTTCTGCACTGTGTCAGGCTCACAGGTATGCTAAACTTATTGAAGCTTTGGTGTCGGGGTCTTGGGATAATGTGGGCAAATCCTCTATGTGTCTATGTCTTGAGTCAAAAATATGTTGCTGCTCATACAGACAAGCTGTGTTTATTAAACTTTCTGGTAGGTCAGGGTAAACTTGCTGTCTGGCTTTCAAGGAAG